ATCGTAGTCCAAGTGGATCACGTCCAAGACTACTCAACACAAGTTCTATTGTCGCAGGGTTATCGCCTGCAGGAGACACGAGTTGTTAAATGAGTTTGTACTGCTATCCGCGTCCTTCTCGAGGATTTACAAGAAAACTTCGTTACAAAGGCGTAGACGGTAATGAAAGTTCGAATATACGGCCAAAGTGGAACGAATTTATGCTTTTAGCACTTTTATTAACAATAGCCTTCCCAGGCTCGTCGCTGGCATTCAGTTTCATGTGGAATCTTCGACCTGCTACCATCGTTTGCTTATTTTCATATCCAGGTTGACTGACAATATTCATATCTTAATTGAACCCGTCAGTTTTTACATGGTTTAATAATGTTTCAAATGCTGATTGTTYGGGACGAAAGCACCAATTTTGTTTTTAAAATTTCGAGTTTAAGTAAATAAATATACATTTTTGCGCCTTGATTCTTCTTTATCGATTCTATAGATGTTAGAATCGACGACTGAAGGATGAAGTGATCAAATAAWGTCAAAGCARGAAAGTTCGGTAGGTTTTKTCATGAAAASTAASATCTACTTTWAAACAGAACTTTTTTTTATTTATTCTTCAAAGGGAAATCAATAGAAATAGATTAGAGCTACTCAATTAAATCTGGAATGGTATGATCTTAACTAGGGACTATCGACTGTACTCGTAACGTTAAGTGAGCAGCTTAAGTTCCGTTATTTTAGAAAAATAATTTTTGCACAGCGCTTTGGTCTATAGTTTTTATACTGATTTTTAAATGAACTTTGATTTTTATTTCCAGTTTTTTTTTAAGTTTTTAAAGCGAAAAAATGGCCATAATAGTACATAAATTGTTTTAMCTGTTGGTKGCTTGTAGGACCRTTTTGCATAATTAGTTTTATGTTAATGTTTTTGATCTGGTAAGTCTCCGTTTTAACACCAATYAATCCACATCTTTGAGTCAGTCAATAATTGTCAATATCCGASATTTACATTGTTTGTTGCTATATTGTCAAACCTTGGCCGTTTCAAACTGTTCCAAGTGAAAGAAAATAATAGAATCCTTAAAAGTTTCTTTAAACAAAATTCTACATTGTTTTTAAGTTSGAAATTTTWAGAATTTTTCMCCGCATTKAAATKTTCTATTCATTTCTTTGGCTATATTGTCAAACCTTRGYCATTTCAAACCGTTCCAAGTGAAAGAAAAAATTGGAATCCTTAATAGTTTCTTTAAATAAAATTCTGTATTGTATTTTGCCATTACCCCAATCTTCTTCCAAATATTTGTATTTAGATTGCGACTGGGATGCGCATTTTCTGAAGAACTTTTCTATTTTATTAGACACTTTATATTGTTGTTTGCCTACCTTTCTCTATGCGTATAATAATAATAATAATACATATATTGCTTTAACTGCTGGTGGCTTGTAAGACGCTTTTGCCATAATTCGTTTAATGTTAATGTTTTTGATCTGGTCTCCGTTTTAACAACAAGTAATCCACATCTTTGAGTCAGTCAATAATTGTCAATATCCGAGATTTACATTGTTTATAAGTTGGAAGTTTGAATATTTTTTCACCGCAATCATCCACGGAGGATCCTCCGTCCATATTTATTACAAATGTCTTTTTCTATTAATTTCTTTGGCTATATTGTCAAACCTTGGCCGTTTCAAACTGTTCCAAGTGAAAGATATAGAATAATAGAATCCTTAATATTTTCTTTAAACAAAATTCTGCATTGTATTTTGCCATTTCCCGAATCTTCTTGCAAATATTTGTACTTAGATGCGCATTTTCTGAAGAACTTTTCGATTTTCTTGGACACTTTGTGCTGTTGTTTGCCTACTTTTTCTATGCTTATCGAAATTATTTGTGCCTAAACCGTTCAGAGTTTGGTTTGTCCGGTATTTTTATATCCTTTTATAATGCTCTTAATACTGCTTTGTTTCATTAGCCTCATTGTTATTTTATACCATAATAACCGTTTCGCGATCTCTGGTTGTTTTTGGTTTTGACTATTTATCGTTTTCCCCAATCACTTATATTTATTTATTATCTTCACCCACGTTGTTAGGCTTATTAACGAGCCGTTTCATGTTCATCGTTTAACGCTTCTTCCTTTTCTGGTTAATGTGTTAATTTTTATTCCAGACTTATGTTTTCATGTCCTATTTGGCTTGTCCTAAAACCCCACAAGGTAAAAATATTAAATATTTCAATGAGTGTTTCTCTTAGGACACAACTAAGGGATGATTTCTGTTTGCCGTTTTATGCTAGAAAATTTTGAATTTTCTGTGTTTTCATGATTTTTGTCATCTGCGGGTTTCTCACACCGGCGGCGACGAACATTTCCTTTACTTGGAATTGTGTATTTTTTAATGTTTCTTGTACTCCTGACGTGGATTTCATTCTAGGATTTCTGGAAAGTTTTATGTTTATATTTTATTCCATTTCATCTTTAGAGGATTTGTTCAGCTTGCCAGTCAGTTTTCTGCCGTTCTTTTACAATGCATGCTAGTTTTTAAAAATGAGATCTGGGTGCCAATCAATTCGGGGTTTGGAGAGATACATTTTATCGTCTCTAAAACTGATCCAAATCCAAAGTGTATTGCGATTCTTTATTATTTATTTTTATCAGATGAATAATTGTAAACTTTTAATCAATCAAAGTTTATCATCATGTGTCTAAACAGCCAGCAAAGTCTCTGAAAACTATTGTTTTGAAACTTTACAATAGGAAAAATAGTTATCAGGTACAGAGGAGCGTATTTTGGAACATCATTAAGAATAAGTGAAGAAACAAATGCTCAAGCTCAAGCTTAACGAAATAAAACCGTTCCGAAGATTTATCATTATTTTGTAAAACAATATTTGTCGATCCTCGAGAATAGTTCCAAATTAAAAGGCTTTAAATGCAGCTGATCTTTCAAGCATTGGGGTTTACGGCTTACGGAAAATACTCTCTGTTAAACTTTCTTGGAAAGAAACTTAAATTTGCATTTTTCCTTGTAATTAATAATTTCTCGCTGATACATATAGGTACGATGCTCTGTATTAATTAGTTTAACATCTGAATCAATCCGTACAACATTCATGAAATTTTAAATTTCAGAATTAGAACATTCCGAATTCGTGAAAGCTTTAAAATCAAGAAAATTCATCCAATCACGTCACGTGAAATCGAATAAAAGCAAACATACATTGTTATTAACGTTCGGACAGTTGACTGATGGTCTTTATTATTCGTCAAATATGTGGATCGTTTGATATGTGGAAAATCTTTATCTTCGACGTTCGGGGTTCATCTCCATATATCATCTAGTCGGCACGTGGAATGGCACAACCGGAAAAAAGATCCGAATTTATGTGGAAAACTTTAATGAAATATTCCGACTTTAAACGTCATTGCAAAGCAGCACACCGCGCTGGAATTTATCATTTTTATTCTTTACCTTGTTTTCCAGCAACAGTGAATAATAAATATTTACATTTCCCGAAAAGTATTTTCCTCGGTTCCTCAGGAGCGGTCGCGGCCGGCATTTTAATGTAGCTTAATCGGCATTATGTTTGGTATAAATTCAGTTGTCACTAGCAGGAAAATACGCGCCGGGAAATTTGTTACGAAAAATAATTTACCCGCTTTATTTGTAACGGTCTTGATATGGAACATTAGAGCATAATGTATTATGTGGGAACATACTGCTTTGGGAAACTGCATTTTTATTGTAATTCCTCGCAGTATTTTAACTACTTTTCCTTTGCTGGCTTGTTTAATTTTTATTTTAAATATTGGTGCTGCGCCACTATTCTTCTCCGCTCTTCAGGCTTCAAAGTGTTATGAAAAATGGATTACTTCAATCTGTCTGCTTAATGTGTTTCGTTCACTTTTAATCATCTTAGTTTAAACTAGGCCTTTTAGTTCCATCCAGCTAAAGATTAACACGATGCAGCTGAATAATTAACTACACTTTAAGGTAAGTCTTCATTTTGCGATGTCTTACTTAATATAAGACAGACAATAAATCTAGCGCTTGTTCAAAGAGATACCGGTTATTGAGTTAGTTAACTTTACCAAGTTGATGGGTTTAAGGGGAGTTAAGAGTTTCGTTTACTAATGATCACTGAACAGGTAAGGCACTATTTGAAGCTGCTAAAAACAACAAATACGCCCTGTTGGAGTTCAATGTGAATACTTGTGGTTATCAAAGTAAAAATCGCAGAGAAGCCCCAATTGCTTGTAAGATTGAATCGTCAATTGAGTAGGCACTTAACGTGCAATATGCAAAGGCAAACACATAGGTAGACGAATAATCTGTAAAAAAGTGAATTACAAGGTAGGAAACCCGATAATTTATTTTTAAATACTTCTAATCTGTTATTTGGAGATAGACATGACTTGGAGATTTCAATCAATAGTCAGTAGCAGCAGGCATTGTGTATGCAGAATTGAATGTTTAGGTAAGTATTTATAATAATTTTGAAACATTAGCTTAACATTGTTTTTTAAAGGTTTTATTCAGCATCTGCGTCCACATTTATTTATTGTTTTCTCATTTTTTACTTTAACTAAATCCAGACATTCAGAGAGACAATGTTGAAAAGAGCTTCATTTTAGAAATATTTTTTATTCAATTTTCTTTTAATATTCTTTGCTCAATATTGAGTTGTTGATTTTTCCATCAACACTGTTTAACTTAAAAACTATACTGTGACTGTATGTATGTCGTTTCCACTGTTGTAGGAAAGCGATAGCGACTGAGCTAGTGTTTGCATAATGCTGAATTCGTAATTAAATACTTATTTACTAATAATTATGAGTTTGCGAGGAATCCTTCGAAATCAATTACCATTAGTTTCTAAACYAGTCAAAGAACTAAGAAAGAAAAATKAACTTTGAATTGSAAATGARGGTAGKTATTYTTAAATCTGCAAATTATCCATTGTTTMGAGCTATTTTCARCTAAGARATCATYAGCTAAGTTTTTAGTAGAACACAACTCAGTTGGCTTTGTCCAATCCATTCATATATGGAGAAAAAAGCTRCGAAGGATCTGCTTTACTAMCTGCGGTTTTTACACTCTRTCTGTAGAAASAGTATCTTTTTATTGCTAATTATAGACAAGAAGAAATGTCCATCGTAGTAGAGAAAATAGCTGAAATTCCAAATTTGATGGTTGGRGAAGGTYCGCATCGGGATGTCAGAACTCAAGCGCTTTACTTTGTCGATATTATCGRAAAATCTGTGCATAAATATGTYCCGGCTACTGGACAACATACCAAGGCCACCTTTGGTATATATTTTTTTAATTAGAATKAATTTGCTTGCCGGTTACTGAGCATTTTGCTATAGACAAAGCAGCGTCATTGGTAATTCCAGTGAAAGGTCAACGAGATAAATTCGTGGTCAATCAATTGGATGAAATTGTGGTGGCTTTCTGGGATGGACATTCGGAAAAACTATCAAAAATTGAAAAATCTGTGGAYWTTMATCAGCCGGATACTTCGTTAAATGATGGGAAATGCGATGCCATGGGAAGGTTGTGGACAGGTGAAGAAAATAAATATTTGGMCMACTTCAAAATAATGTGTTATCATTAAAGGAACAAKGGCTAAAATTCCCGAGAACCGAACTAATTTTGATGCATATCCCAGAACGGRCGCTTTTTTGTCGCTCCATAATGGAAAACGGGCTGGCTTGGAAMGACAGCTCAAAGAAATTATACTATATTGACTCTTCAACAACAAAAATTGATGCKTTTGACTTCGACGTAAACACCGGAGCTATATGTGAGCTGTGAGCTCATTTGCAAAATCCATATTCMAATTTTCCCAGTTTGATTTAAGCTAATAGGAAGGCAATCTTCACCTTCAGCAAACATGGCATTGAGGGAATACCAGACGGCATGACTGTAGATGTGGAAGGGAATCTTTGGGTGGCCGAATTTGGGGTCTCCAGCTCTGAAGTTAACATCAAATTTACGAATTTTCTTTTGCGGTCGCAAGATTACTTCTGTTGGATGGGGAGGCGCTGGACTAGACGTTTTGTATGTGACTTCAGCAAGCGTTCTTTCGCGAGGAGTTTAGACGATTTTTCACCTGAAAATAAGGCAACTTTCAGGATTACTAGACTGGGCATCAGAGGGATACCACCAAACGAATTTGCCCTCTAAAAAAAAGGATTAAAATATATAATTTGCAAGTTCATGGCTTTAAATTACCCGAATATTGATCGATCCCCAAATCCTGCACATCGGCCTGGACGATAAACCTAAAATATCTCAATCTTGTCTGCTTTCTACTGAGTTGAACATTTCGATATTATCAAACATAATAAAGTGAATCCAGAATACCTAACTATGCAGCGTATACGACAATCAAAATCACGTCGCTTCTGTTTGCTTACCAAGTCTTAAGAGAGCGCGTCAGTGCAGGCTCGGGCCTCTCTACGGCTTTAGGAATCTAGGCATGTCTGCATTAGATTAATCATTTCAGACAAATTTCTAGCATCAAGTTTAAATCCTCAGCAATGATAACGACAAGGGAACATTTGCATAGGACCACTTGTTCACTAAATTCTGACTTGGAGATGCATGTGTTTTGGGTAACAACCTCTTTTGTGTATTATTGTCTTGTGCGATGTTACTTGAGACTAGTGGATTCCAATTTTTATTTAAATATTAAACACATTTGGTAGGTTGAACAAATTTCCACCGAGTCGAATAGTTGATAAAAGCTGTACAAAATGCTCTTCCTTTATAGAGGAGACTGAAAATAGGCTTTGCAGTGCTGCTGCTAAATTACCGAACATCGTGTTTGCATCTAGGCGAACTTAAGCCGCTTTACAGCACATTATCAAATACATAACTACAACATTAGACAACCAGATTATATTGTACCAGAATTCCCTATCTGGGAGACGCACAGCCCTGAATGTGCGCCAATTAATCTGGATGATACTTTAAGGCGATTGTAAGCAGATGATAATTATTATTAATTAATGAAGAGAATGATTGATTTTCAATACGTTTTGGTGTTTATAATATTTCATGCATGTTGCTTTTCCAAGTCCGTCTTCCTCTTCGTCTTTTTATTTCTTTATATTTTTTTTAGCTTTGGAAAGTATGTGTAATATATTTTGTATTAAATTTAGTCAACGAAAACGTTCCTACTGCGAATAAGTTTTCATTCAAAACTCGATTTTTTTATAGTGAAACTGAACAGTGGACACTCTGCTTTCGTTGCATATTGCGCACATAAATTGGTTTTTTAATGATGGAGCAAATTTAGCAAACGGTTTCTCGGAAACTTCAAAACCATGCTTTCAAGCGATTAATATTTACGGATAACTTCCATTTATCATTTCGGACAAAACAGTTTTCGAAATTTCGTTTCAACCGTGTTTCGTAATACATTACCTAATCAGTCACTATAATTGAAAGTACACACATTTTGTGCATAGGGCGATTCATAATTGGTGATTTTTTTCAAAAGTTACCGGGGGTTTCAGGATTACTTAAAAGGTTGGGGAAGAAGTTGTCTGATGTCTGATGTCTTATCTTCTCATAAAATCGTGTTGAATTTGGTAGAAACAAGCTCTAGAACCAGGCACGAAAAACCACTAAAGGGTTTTGCGCTGCTTCACCTTGATCTGGAACTTTTGTAGAAACGCTGTATCAAGTCAGTTTGAAGAAACACTATTTTTTTAGTGTATGAATATTGCTAAATTTATGTTATCAAAAGTTTCCACCAAGCTGTGATGGAAAAGCCAAATATTTCTGTTAAAAATGAATGCAGATGAAACTTGAGATTAGTTGGCTTCAAGGGTTTTTGCGCTATCATGACACAAAAAGTCGTTAAATATTGAGCTGCTCATCTCATCGCCCATGAAAGACCCACAAAACCCAACAGTTTCAAGCAATAAACTCGAAAGCACTGATAATAAAAACCAATATTGTCAAACAAGCTTATAATGAGGTGAGCAGTTCTGTATTAAAATGTGCCGTGTTGTAATAAAACTCATAAAAAAGGAGTGCAAATTGGTATGCTAGACTTCTTAACTGGTTAGAGTGAAGAAGATCCAATCAACAAAATAATTTCAGTTTTTTTATTGCATTTTAGATTCCCGTATCTACAGAAAATTAAAATTCTACTCAAGATTTCCCTTCGATCGCCCAGAGTTCTTGCTTTCGGATCTGCAGTGTTGGGAATTTACTGCAGCCTTGTGTATAGGAGATAAATTAATTTCTACAAAAACAAACTGAACTGGCTGTTAAAGCAAGTTTAAAACCTTACGAAAAGTCCATTGGTTCAGCATTTTTTTGTTGTTGCCTTCGTGAGATGAAAACAGTAATGGGCATGCAATTTTAAGAGAAATTATTTACGTTTCCGTTTTGTTCTGTTTTAATAAGTAAGGTCAGAATCAGACTTGTCTCTTTACAGCAGCTGACTTCTGCAATAATAAGCTTATTGAAAAATTTTGTGTTCTCTTAATGGAAGATAATGGAGCTCGTAAACGGCACCCTGCGTGATGACAAAACACTTTACTCCAGTCTTTCATTAATTTTTGCGGTGCAAACTGAGCGCCAAAAATTGTCTCCACTTTATACAAAAACGTATGTTTCCATAAAGTGTCACTAGAGATCAGCCGTCAAGTTAACACGTCTTCATGAGACTTCTTAAACAAAGCAGCGGCCTTTTTTGTCAGCAGCGATGATCCATCATTTTGAATACATGACTATTTTTCTTGTCACGAAACCACTCGCCTGTGGGAGAGCCGAATAATAACAAACGATAAAGGGATATGAAATTTATATTTTGATACCAATGCCGAATAACAAAGCAACCGAATAATGGAGAGCGCCGCTAGGTCAATGTCAGCTCTTATTGCCTATTTCGAAGTTATTATTAGTATTTCCAAAGCAGTAATATAAAAGCTATATTTTCATAAATTTCGAAAACTTGGAACTGAGAACCACTGTTTACCCAAGGAACGTTTGCTGTACTTATCCATTCGTTAAAAATTAACCGTAATCACTGATATTTGGCCCAAGCTTTTGATATATCCTTCCTCCAAAGCCTAACTTGTACTCGGTGTTGCAATGTATCTATTTTTCAATAATCGTTGCTACAGTTTTACTAAAGTAAAAAGTACAATTTCTTATCACGAAGCTATCCAACACGTACGCTTTACGGCGACCCTTAAAGACCATTTAATATGCCTCAGAGGGGTAGATGGGATTTAATAATTGCCCTCTTTATGGAGAGTTTTACTGCAAATCGAACTTTTATGTGAAACCTCACGTTTGCAGACGCAGGTCTTTCCTAGCTACTCGAATCTAATTTTCCCTGCAGGATTTTATATTAGCCACCCAGGCAAGTGCAGGATATTCACTAATAGTATTAAAATAAGTGTTGGCACTGTTAAGATCATCCGCTGATCTGCAACTCTTTCAAGCATTGTTTCTATCAGCCGCATTATTTCAGTTCAAAGTTTGATCTTTGTGAAACTTGACGTTAAAGAATCGACGTTTTCTGTAGCTGTATTTCTTTTCAAATGAAAAATCATCAATAACAGATTGAGGGGAACCGAAATGAGCGAAAGCTGCACCAAAGAAATTAATACGATGTATGTTTACGGTCTGTCGAAGGCAGCTTTCCTATGTCAAACTTTTTTGGGCCAGTTGCCCTTATTTGAAAAAGGATCCATTTACTTCCAATTGGGCACCGACATTCTATCATTGATACTAAAAAAATTGCGGCAATTAAAGATTCGTTGGAAAATCGCCCTGTGATGATTTGAAAGCGGTGATTAATAGTGGCTTCAGTGCTAACGTTAACTGTAGAGGAAAGGAACGCCCTGCCTTGTTATCTGCCATTGTTTATTCGGATTGATGAAGACGATTATGTGGCGTTAATTTTATTTAAACAGGCGCAAAATCGTAATTTTTCATTTTAGTCGCTTGCTGACCGTTAATTTTAGCCTTTGCTCAAGCCAGAAGTTTTGAATAGTTGGCTCTTAAAGTTTTTTAGTTGATTACTTGGAACTTGCGATAGTTTTACAAAAGTTATCGAAAATGGAGATTAACTCTCGTGTTTGTCAACCTATGTGCTTGCAAATTAGTGCAATTAATATCACATGAAATTGCTGAGAAAGATGGGCTTTTTAAGGGTTTCACAAGTTTAAGCCTAAGTTAACGTGTCAGGCAAAAAAATCTTCAAATTTCGTCCCTTAAAACACGTCAGACGCAAACCAGAGGTGTAACCGACTGAAAGGTAAAATTCCCAAATATAGTGCCATTGTATTATGGTTTTTTGACGGGGAAAACTTTCCATCTGAGACTGGAGTTGGCAATTTCGCACGCTGTAGAAAAATAAAAATATATGACCTGAGCTAAAAAGAAAATAGAAAGCGTAATAACAACAATCCGTATATGGGAATGGCGCTTAGCTTCAGTTTCTTTTATCGTTTTTGAAAAAGTTGGCCCCTTTACTACAATCCATCATATTTAGGATTTTTATTACACGCGTGTTTTATTGCATGGTTTAGCGGTTGTTCAGTTTCATAAATAAAATTTTGAACGTAAAGCAACGCTGATAGGGGCCGGCTCTCCCGCCGAGGCAAAAAAATATTCACATTGCGGAGAGAAATTTTCCAAGCAAGTGAAAATAATTTCGTGAGTTCTCAGAGTTAAAAAAAGATAAGCTTATGTACATGCTCGCTTTTTGTTGGAATTGAGTCGAAATATCCACATGCAACACATTCAAGCCAGTCGCATATGCAACATTATTATTCAGCGTCAAAAGGCATTTTAGCAAAACAATTTCCCAACTCGTTTAAACCCTGATCTGAGCGTCTAGGTACAATTGCAAGCATATTTTAAGGGATCTAATGCAACACTAGGTTGACACAGCAACCTAATTTTACCGTAACGGTTTCGGTTTGGGTCATTGGTTTTAATGCTGCTCTAAGTCTGATAAATTAGTACATGCAGCTCTACTGCTCTCAGTATTTTGACTAACTTAATTCGCTTTGAAAATTAATTATTTCGGCACAGCTGGGCGAACCGAAGATGAATATTTCGTTT